TTTTTTTTTCATATTTATATCCTGTTCATAGCCTGTACATAGCTTGTACTCACTACAGCCTGTACATACTTGTAGCATATTCACAACATACTTCATACTGTGTACATATTACATACGGTAATAGACCCATTTCTGTAATATACTTACATATCTCTATTATTGCTAATATATATTGTAATATATCTATATCATGGCTAAAGCACTTCTGGATGGCTGCAAACTGCATTTCGTTGCCCTGTACCTGTGCATGTGCAATGACAATAAAGTTTAATTCTATTCTATTCCTTGTTTGGTATCTTCTTAGACTTGTTATAATTGTTATTACACGAAACACTCTGTAACACTGTCTTCTGCTCGTTTAATTCTGAAATGTTTGAACTGCTAATTAAGACCGAGAACCCCCCACCACACAAAAGTACGCATATTGAGAAACGGCTCCGGATTAACAAGAATGAGAGTATGTACTTGTGTACTTGAGAAACGCCCAGTGAAATGCAGAAAGCACAGAAACTGATAACTGCTGGCACCAGGACCGATGCTGTCAGAACAGCGTCAGGAACTGTTTCAGTTAAGATCTAACTTTCTGCAGTCCTCCGCTCTCCTCCTAGTACGCTATGTACGCAAGTAGGAGCTAAGAGGAAGTGACGTAAAATAAGAGAAAGGAAAAGCTGAAATTAGCACGATGCTAACGTTAGCTTAGCAGCTCCATTTCTAGCAACAGGAATTAAACTAACCTCCTCTTCTCGCCTCCATTTCCGCTTTTAATTCCACATCCGGCGGTTAACTATGTCAGCCCCCCTCTATTCTGTCCACAGAACCGAACTCTGGAGGACTTTCTGGCTCTGCGGTTCAATCTGCTAACGGAGGGTGGGTCAAGTCCTCTGAAGTGTCAGTTACTACTTCCGGGACACTTTTAAAAATAAAGCTACAATGACGCGAAATAAAAGTATATTTCCGGCGTGATTACAACAACTGGTACATCATACTGCAAAAATTGGTCAAATGCAGTATCACTGATACCAAGTACAATGCTAATACTTTTTACTTATGAAAGTAAAGGGTTATTATATCCAGATATTTTCATACTCACATGTTTGATGTTTTTTTTCTTGGTTGCATAAAATATCTTTTGTTCCTTGCTTGCTTTTGTTCGGTTTATTTTATATTTCCATTCTATTCCTCTACTTTGGTTTCTGTGTTTCTTTAACTCCTCTGTTTCCTCACAGACTGTCATGTCTCTATATTTTGTCTTCTGTCTATGTCAACTTTGTGTATCTTAGTCCTGGTTTCTATGTTTGTTACCTTTTATGTTATATTAAGTTTTGCGTTCCCTTACTTGTTACTCTTGATTTGTCCGTGCTGTCTCCACCCCTAATTAGCCTCCTGTGTATAGAGATTGAAAATGTGACGTCATTTCCGGGGTAAAACCGCAAAGGATTGTAGGTACGAGTGGCAAGCGGTACTAGCGCACGCAGGCTTTCACATGAAAACAGTCACACAGCGATAAAAAGAAACACAAAGAATGGCAAGAAGCTGTAGTATTATTAACTGCAATAGCCGGTCGCATGACAGCCATGGGAAGCCAACGGGTAAAGAGATCAGTCTTTATCGAATTCCGTCGTGGAAGAGAAATTGTTCAAGCCATGTTTCCGAAGTAACAAAGAGCCGACGGATGGCCTGGATTGCAGCCATTCAAAGACCAAATATAACGTTCCAGAGCACTCCAGCTCACATGTTAGTCTGCTCCAAGCATTTCCACAAAGGTCAGTCTTCTGTTATAGTTATTACGTAATTAATCATAACATCATTGTTGATGTAGGTTACAAATAAGTCTTATATTGATTTGAATTAAATTTGTTGCGCTATGCTGCTTTGTTCACTGTGGCTTTGCGGGCTAATATTTGTTGTGTTTTGTAGGAAAACCAGAATACAAAATGCTGGAATGCGATCCAGACTGGACACCCTCTATCATCCTGGGTCATACAGAGTTTAAAGGTGCTACCACAGCGAGATTTGATCAGTTAAGAGAGAGAGCAATATCAAAACAGCCACGAAAAGTCTCTCCCTGGCACTGTGTCACTGCTCAGTGCCAAGCGGGGATCTGTTATGACTCGGCCTCTCCAGCCAGCAGCTCCGACTTCCTTCTGGAGCGTCATCCGCATATCGTGGGTTTCTGTCACGGCGATAGCCAGCTGCCGTGCTCGAGTGGTAGACTGGGTTCCCCTGGCATATTGCCCGCGTTCGCCAGCTTACACGCCAGTCTGACCTCGCTGCGGCGAGTGACAATTCTCCAGCCTAGTGTAGCCTATTCTGTCTGGCGTGTTGCCCGCAGTGCGCTGTTACATACCTGTTATAATACCTGATGGGCTGGGCTTTTGTCAAAATGTGTGTAACTGTTAATATAGGCCGTTATTAAATTGATTGCTAATGCAACCATATGGTACATTGACCTCTGGGGAAATTTTAGATGGCACTCATCATCAGAAAGGTTGCCGACCCCTGATTTAGAGCAAGCAATAACACAGTTGTCAAGGGGCCTGGGAGCCAGTACATGTGAGTGGACCCAAATGCAGACACAATCGAGACAGCAATTTTAACAAAGCTTTACTGAGTACACAGGGATTCAAAATCATGGAATGTGGGAACATAGCGAAAGTCTCTGCTGGAAAAGCACTGAAACAGAGGGAGAGAGAGATTAGATACAAAGCGAGGAAAGAGCTGTACTGGGAAAACCCCAAAAAGTTGATTCTGTTCATCTGGACATAGCGTTTTAAGTGGGAGAAACGTTTAGTCACTCATCCAAGTGACTTCTTCCATCTCAGCCGAGTGGAAGTTTCCTCAACCTTATAAACAGTACATTTGCACAATGACTGAAATTCACCACCACTGGTGAACAATGGGCTGTGAGGTCAGTTCATTAATATGCAAATGGTTATGACTATTGATCTTCAACCACTGATTAAAGACCACTGATCAGTGACCATTGATTAATGGCCATAAGTACCATTCACAGAGAGTTGGGGAGTGGCTGCAATCACAGCACTGCAAGATGGCGAATGATGTACTCTTGGGCCCTGTAGCGTAACTCTTCGGTCCTTCTTTGCTTATTCTGCAGAACGTAAAGTTTCTGACTCGAGCCTTTCTTGGATAGCTTCTATGCTTTATGCCTAACCCGTCTCCCACTGAAAACTCTACGTCCAGATGAACAGAATGAACACTTTGGTAATTATTTAGCTGTAACATGATAGGACAAAAAAAAGCAGCTATGAATGGTCTAAAAACAAATGCCGATTGCAAGAGCTGGTAAATGACTAGAGCCAAATTGGAACCAAATTGGATGAGACTGACTTCCTCAGCCTGAACAAAAGTAAAGCAGAAATTATTTTATTTGATAACCCATCCTGTTAGACTGATAAAACATCACCATTGGTCTTTTAGTTTCTTACAGTCATTTGGTTGCAAAGAACCTTGGTGTGACTTTTGACACTGTTTTATCACATTAGCTCTGTTGTTAAGACCAGTTTCTTTCAACTGAGGCTTCTCAGTTAATAGTTTAATATGTGCATTGAAGGACATGTCCTGGTCAAAAATGGCTCCAAGATTCCTCACAGTGTTACTGGAGACCAAGGTAATACCATCCATTGTAAGCATCTGGTTAGATACAGGATTTCTAAGGTTTTTTGATGAAATACAATAACCTCAATTTTATCTGAATTTACAAGCAGAAAACTAGAGGTCATACTGGTCTTTATGGCTTTTAGACATTCCTGCAGTTTAACGAACTGGTGTGTGTTATCTGGATTTATGGATAGATAAAGTTGGATATAATCTCCATACGAGTGAAACTGTATGGTATGCGATCTAATGAGACTGCCTAAGGGAAGCATGAATAACGTAAACAGAATTGGTCCAAGTGGAACTCCATAATTATCCTTAGTGTGTAAAAAGGACTCAGCATTTACATTTAGATAAGATAACATAAGAATCTATATCGCAATATAATGCATTTTCGGTAAATTCAGTGAATAGTTTATATAATCACCACATCAAAAGTACTATTTCTCATATACATTTAAATGACATTATCAGTAATGAAATAAATATGGGCCTTACCTGGCATTATCCTATAGCAACACACACTAGATGACTCCATGCGGTCACGGAGGTGCTTTCCTCAGGCCTCCAGCTAACATTACTGCTCCTGTATGGTTGTTAGGAAACTAGCCTGTCTGCAAACGACAACTGCAGATGTCCAGTCTGTGGAGTGCACAGTTAAGCTCATAAAGGTATATATTGTTCAGCTCCATCTACATATCTGTTGTTGTTTGGTGAGTGGTGACTATACCATGGAAAGTATTGCAAATCATCATCTAAAGCAGGGGTGGCCAACGCCAGGCCTTGAGAGCTGGTGTCCTGCAGGTTTTAGATGTGTAAATGGCTAAATTACCTCCTCAACATTTCTTGAAGTTCTCCAGAGGCCTGGTAATGAACTAATCATTTGATTCAGGTGTGTTGACCCAGGGTGATATCTAAAACCTGAAGGACACTGGCTCTCGAGGCCTGGAGTTTGCCACCCCGGATCTAAAGCAATGGAAAAATATTGCAGTAAACAGTAATTTTTGCAACAGCACAAAATACATGAGTATAATCGTCTATCATCTAATATATTTTCGTCATTTGCACAGCCCTGATTCAACCACAATCTGTCAATCTGAAGACCCTTCACACACTGGAGTGCCAGTTCACTTGCCCGTTCTGTGAGAAAGGGTTTTTGCACATGACTCGGCAAATGGCCATCCACATGGTGAAAAGCAGTTGCAGGGCATGCAACAAATAGTTCACTTGACTGTCAGGCTTAAAGCAGCAAAAGTGCTGCGGTGAGCAGCTGGAGCTGGACAATGGTCGAACAGACTGTGCAGACCAAGAACCCAGAGAAAAAAACATTTTCCTGCCATGAGTGTGAGAACAGCCTGAAATATCACATGGGGAATCAGACTGGAGGGAAGCAAATCAAACTCCATTTGTGAGAAAGGTTTCACAGTGAATGCAGTACTGAACAAACATCTGACTACTCAATCATTTGTTAAACCCTTCAGTTACCACTTTTGCAGTGAGGAAGATATCTGGAAAGACATATTACTCAGCACACAGATTATTTCTTAATCTGCAGAAAACTCTTCATACAGTCTCAAACATAAAGTGACATATCCAGTGGCTGAAGCTGAGCTGCAGGAAGGAAGGTTCACACAAGACTGACTTCATACATGAGTCTATAGAATAAACCACAGACAAAAAAGAGATACAGGAACATATGGAAGGCAAGAAGGACGTGCGGAATAAACTGAGACCAAGAACAGACACAACTGGCCAGTAAGCAGACTGAACATTCTTATGTGGTTTGTAGTGACACATTTGGTTCATTTGCAGTTCACTTGGATTTTTATCTGTGTGAAAACAAACCTAACCATGGGTAAAAGCTACAAGTTTACAAACTTGTAGGTCTGAAAACACCCTTGGATTCCAAACAGGAAACGGAGTTCCTCAGTCTCGGTTTCCCTCTGAGATTATCTGATTCTGAACGTTTTTATTTCTTTGTGGGGGAAAAGTAAAAGTTGACCTGGCTTTTAGACCACACTGAGGAAGTGAATATGCTGCTGAGCCTCTTTCAGCGGAGTGTTTGGAGTTTGGAGTGTTCAGATAAATGTTCAAAATTCCAGGGTAATTCTGAATAGTCATTCATCTCTAAAATTCTTTAGAAAGCTTTTTCACTTGATCCAGAGTGCACCAGATGTAGTGAGATATTCATTCCCAGCTTATTTGTGAAAACATGAAGCTGACTTAGCAAATGGAATGATCAAAAATGCAGCTGTCCATCAGATGGCACTCTGTTACAGATTCAGAATACCTTAATAATCCCTAAGGAAATTACATAAATTATGTTTATCTCAGATTATAATTACTGATCAGTTCCTGTTTAATTTATATTCAAACAGCTGTTAGTGTTTGAATAAGAATAAAATGTGTATGTTTTTCTGTCATATACTCATAGACTTAGGGTGTGATTTGTAAAAACAGGGAGCACTGGGATTGGTTTAGTGGACTTTCAGTGGGAGTAGTGTTTCATCGCTCTAGGTGATGTCTTCAGTCTCTAAACCACAGTGCTCCCTTGTACTCTGTACCTGTCACAGCATATTGCTGTTGATAAACCTAGCACAAAAAGTAAGGACATTTGTCTTTGGCTGATTACTTCTTTGTTGTAACAATGCTTCTTGGCAACACATTTTATATTGTTGGAACACAACAATAAACAAGAGTAAATCAGCTGTTTGACTCTAGCAAAGAAGTTTTTCATGGGCTCAGGCCACATACTCAACTCTGCTACCACAAATGCATTTTCCTTAAAAAAGTGGCACCATTTAAGGGGAAATAAACAGGCTTTCCAACAATATAGGATTTATTGCGTTTCACAGAAGCATTGTTACGATAAAGTAATAAACAAACAAACAAAATTACCTTGCTTTTGGTGCTAACTTTAAAATAATTAAGAACCAATACAGAATAATTAGGATTATTATAACTTTAATCATAAACAGCTTTGGCATGGACACTGTAACATATTTTCTTTAAATAATATGCACAGTACTCTTCACATTTTCTTCTTTAGGCACATAAAACCCAGTCAATCATAATGCCAGCGTTGGCATACAGAAAATATTTATGCCAACATTTGAACACAAAAAGAACACAACACAGTTTGGAAAGTACGGGCAGGGCGGCGCCCATCGGCAGCAGACTTTCCAGGTTGGCAGTTCATTATGCTGCCGGGTCGTTATCGCATATTTATTAACTTGTGAATAATGACTGACTGTCAGATTAGGGTTGACCTGTCTAAACAGCTGTACCTTCACGCAATGCCAATGAACAGTGCACGGAATTTCCTTAGACTCTTTTCACTGCAAATTCCTGCATGATGCCTCTTTTTAAAATTTAATTACCGTAGTTTTCACGCAGAAACAGCAGCACCTATAGCTTAATAGATATCACTTAGCTTAAAAATCACAAGTTAATGTCTTAGATAATATAATATATACTTTGACATAACTTGTGTTACATAGCACTACAGTCTTTTCGATTCGATTACACTGTATTATCGTTTATAATTATGTCTGTTAGAATTCACAGACGGCCTGTGTTTCATTTCTACTTTAAATTTAAAGTGGTGTATTTTTTAATTTGTTTTAATGCGCTCTTACTGTAGCGTAGAGCTGCCACCCAGGCAAAAGAAAAATAGAGCTATATCACGTTATAACCTGAAAAGTTTGTTTTTCTAACGTTATACTTTTCATGTTTGTTCAATATACTATCAGTACAATATACTTTTCACGTTTGAACAACACAATATCACTTTATTAAAGTATACATAATTATCACGTTTTAGCAAAAACATTTTAGGTTCTTACAATATCAATATTATAACGTACTAACGCTTTCTTTTGTCTGAGTGGCAGATCTACGCTGTACCATTATTCTTTCACATTATTAGATATGTTTGTTATCGATCCATCAGTTGACTGGGTGACTGACTGATGACGCTGTTTGTAGCTTCCTCTGCAGCTCTATCTTTAGCTCCTCCCCCCCGCCCGACCAGCTGATCTTTGTTGTAGTACGTCACGTCGTGCCCCCCTCCCTCCCCGTCATGTGAAGATTTATTTATTTTCTCCTCCTCGCCCCTGCGCCTGTTATCGCCGAGAAGCACCGTACAACCACAGCGGGACACCGCGACCACAGAAGGCCAAGTATTAGGGCCGCAGGGCCGGGAGGAGCGGGACGGAACCGCCGCTGACTCCGGAGGCGACATGACTGCGGAGTAGCGAGCAAAAGGACGCCGCTGCACCTGCTGGTGAGCCGGAGGAGGAGGAGGATGGTGGTGAATGGTGGATGGTCTGATGGAGGTGCAGCTGCAGGTGGAGCGGCTCCTCGAGCCTTCGCCGCGGCAGCAGAGCCGCTGAACGCACCTGGAGCTGGACAAAATAATGTGAACACTCTGCAGCTCCCTGGCCTTCGTCGTTAACATCATCATTTATGATTATGATGACGGGATCCAGTCACGTGGCTCTGGCCTGACCGACGCTACCTTCTCTTCCAGCGGCCCACAGACACAATGTCCGGGTCGGCTGGACCGGCACTGGCCGCGGAGCCTGGGCTTGGGCCGGAGCTGCCGGACCTGAGCCACCTGACGGAGGAGGAGCGCAGCATCATCCTGTCGGTGATGGAGAGGCAGAAGGAGGAGGAGACGAAGGAAAAGAGCATGCTCAAGTAAGATTATTGATTATGGAATCAGCTGGTGTTCAGAGAAAATAAAAGCATCAGTGAGCATTTTAATTAAAAAACCTCAGCAGCTGCAGGAGGAAGGTTTAACAGGAAGTTGACCTCTCCAGATCGTCGGTGGCAGAAGCAGACTGCAGGTGTTCAGGCAGCAACAGAAGAAAAAAAGTGAAGATAAAATAAAGTAAAGATTTAAAAGCTGCTCATAAATTTGGCGTTTACTTAAAAACAAAACCGATTAAACTAATCAGAAATGGTTATACCCACACAGCACGCTGGTCTGGCCCGGATCACCGTCAGCCACTGCTGGCTGGCGTCTGGCATGCTGAGTGGTATGTCATCCAGATATGGGCCAGGCCTGGCATAGTTGTCACTGTTTAAGTGATGGCATGCCGTATCTGGCTCGATTGTGGTTTGGTTTATGTGGCCCAGGCTCATAGAAAACGGGTCTGGCCCAGATCTATCATCAAGCTGGCACTTCTGACTGACTGGTGTCATGGCAGGGTGTATTCCAACCAGATGTGGGCCAAGTCTGGCATTGATGGCACTATTCATGTTCCTAATTTCCTATTTTAGTTTGAAGACCCAAATCCCATGTTGCAAATATTTCAAATGCAGGTTTGACAGGTTTGTGAGTGTACACTTTATCCAAAACCTAGTGAATGTTTACTCATGTTTACCACTGGGTGGCTGTAGCTCAGGAGGTAGAGCAGGTCACCTACTGATCGGAAGGTTAGTGGTTCGATCTCCCTAGCTTCTCCTATCTGCATGTCAAGAGTGTGAATGTGTATTAATGTAGTTAGGACGTACTCAGTTGATAGAAAGGATGTGATTGAGTGAATGTGGCATGTTGTGTTCAGTGCCTTCCGTAATCCAGCAGAGTAGAAAAACACTTTATAAGAATCGTTCTTCATGTTACTTTGCAGTATTATGTTCCGGCACGTTGTTATTACATGGCTTGATTAAGGTACACATTAGGCTTACATCTAGTGCCAGAGCTGAAACTGTTCTGGGTCAGTACAGGACCACCAGTTTGTCTGCAACTGGCCTTGTGCGGGCCATCATTCTTTGCGGTATGTGGGCCATGTGTAAGCACATTGTGCGGGCCAGATCCGGGCCATACCAATTTTGCTATGTGGGTATTAGAATAACTGCTTAATGCAATCATTAATCTAATTCACTCCCCTATAAAATTTTGCTGTATGTCAGGTTAGGCTGATTGATGAACTGTTTCACTGATCACTTTTAATTGGGTTGATATTGAGCTCACAGAGAAGAAGCTGTTTCTGAGTTTCATTTGAGGGACCTGTACTGATTGGCAGAGAACAACAGATCCTTCAGGTGAGAACAAGGATGTGATTGGGAGGGCAGAGAGTGGCCAGCTATCTTCTGAGCTGTGCTGATTGATCTGCTGAAGTTGTGATATAAATATGCCAGAAGATGCTACTGCTAATCTTTTAGTGTGCTGGCATAAAGATTAGCAGTAGCATCTTTTGACCCAGGTTGTTTTTCCTGAGCATTGTCAGGAAGTGACATAATTGCTCTGCCTCTTTGGTGTTTTCTGAGATGTTTTAGAATGAAATTAAACTTCTTTACACCAAAATAAAGGGGAACCATGTGAAGGTCACTGGGAAATATTTTTAGTGATCAAACTGGTCTGAATGTGGTGCACAGACTGAAGTGAGTTTGAACTTTCTGCTGAAAGCAGTCAGTATTTAAGGAATGAATACTCCCCCCTTCACAGAGCAACACAGTCCACTGAAATGTCTTCATTTTTGACATATTAATAAAATCAAATAGGCTGGTGATCTGCATATTAAACAGAGGTTCATTGGTTCATTCAGCAGATCAGTTTCACCAGTAACTGGAAAATGTTTTTGTAATGATCAATCAGCCTTTTATTGTGTTATTTATTATAGACTGGTTCTCATAGTGGTGAAGAGAGAGCTGAGCATAAAAGCAAATCTCTCAATTTACCGGTCGATCTACGTCCTTACCCTCACCTATGGTCACCAGCTGTAGGTAGTGACCGAAAGAATGAGATCGCGGATACAAGCGGCGGAAATGAGCTTCCTCCGAAGGGTGGCTGGACTCTCACTTAGAGATAGGGTGAGAAGTTCAGCCATCCGGGAGGGGCTCAGAGTAGAGCCGCTGCTCCTCCACATCGAAAGGAGCCAGTTGAGGTGATTCAGGCATCTGACAAGGATGCCTCCTGGGCGCCTCTTGGAGGAGGTGTTCCGGGCAGACCCAGCATCCATTTACCATAAATGCATCCTTGAAGAGTTGTTTGTCATTTTTGTGTCTCCTCACACATCAGAGTGTTGTCCTGATCTACATACAGTAAATGTTTATACATTCACTCGAGAAGGTCACCAGATAAATGTGAAAGCTCATCAGATAATAGATGAATAATTTTAAGTCACTTTTTTATTACATGTTGAAATTTTTTGGTATCTTTGCTCAAATCCTTCATGACGTGTTTTTAATGTAAAATCTTCCAAATGAACTGCGGCCATCTCAGTGTGGTTCATCCTGTTCGAGGAGGTTTTGATGAGACAGCGGTGGCAGACTGAGCTAATTGAGACAGGCTTGGTATGAGTACAGATCCTACAGAATGAGGACTGGCGTGTTCAGTTTGATTGTGCAGGGTGCAGATGGAGCTGGTTTTCACTGTTTCTCTGTACAGTGCTGTGCTGCAGTAGAATAAGTAGTGTCTGTCAGAATTTTTCCCAGAACGCTTTGCTGTATTTCTGGTGGATATTGTAGGTTTTACAGGCTTGCTGGTTCTTAACAGTCTGTCTCTCGAGTTTACTGTAACTGCAGACTAAATCCAGTTATCCCATTAGTGTGGGTGTTGCTTGGTGGATGAGGGGGTTTGTGGTTTAACAGGGATCAGAGCATCTGGTGGTTTTGGGCCGTCTGAGGACTGTAGCTATCTGTGAGGTGCTGTAACCACGTGTGGCCTCCAGATGTCACTGCAGAGTCACTGAGGTCAATGGGTTTCAAAGCAGTCTTCGTGAACACATCTGACACAGTTTTATTTTAGTCTGTTTAAAATGTTTAGTTTGTGTGGGCCCTTTCATCAGTGAAGTCAAACCGAGCATCTTACGGTCCTCACTGTGTGTTGGATGTTTTTTTTCTTTTGTTGTTTTAAGCCCCTACATTGCCTGTCACTTACTGCCTATCCCAAGCATGATTAGCTTTGAAAGTTTTGTTTGTTTGTTTTGCTTTTTTGTTTGTGGTTTGTTTGGTGTGTGTCACAAGTATGAGCCAATCAGCAATGACTTCTATGTAAACATTGCTGTGTTAAAGAGATGGCACACACTGTAGACCAGCTGCCAACCTTTCAGGGCAGGACAGGGCAGACATCGCAACACTTTCATGATTTTATTGCCAGCATGTGATTAGACCATAAATCACAGACCTCCCGACTCTCAGCTTGCGGACTCTTATGGAGTTGCTGTGACATCATGTCAGGCCTTGGCCAAGCCTGCATCATGACTGTTGACCGTGTGCATTTACTTATTTTATTGTTTCATTCATATTTTGTTCATTTTGCTTTTATGTTTGATTTTCAGTTAAGAACTGGTGAAGTGACAGGAAGACTAATAAAATCATTTCAATGAATCCAATGTTTGTTTGCTCGGTTTGTTTACCTTTATGGTTGGCCAAACAAACAAACAAACAAACAAACAAACAAACAAACAAACAGTTTCAGCTGTGTGTGCTACTGGGTGAGTTGTTGCATTCTGACGCATCCTGGTGGTGGCAGAGGAGAACTGAATTAATCCCGTTTCAGCAGCTCGATGTCTCATTCTGTTTCTGCTTATTTGAAGTAGAGCCCTGTGTGAGACTGTTTTTTTGTTTTGTTTTGTTTTGTAAAATCCCTCTTCCTCTGAATTTCTGACCATTACCACCCACTCCCGCTGTCCGTCTGTGTCCAATCCTGCCCGCACCCACAGACTTATTGATATTTAGCTTTCACATGACGTCAGAGCTACTAGGACTCACCCTCCTTGAGGGCAAAACAGTACTTCAGTCCTTTGCCCTCCAGCCATCCATCAAACGTCCGCACGTTTAACTTAAACAAAATGCCATTTAGTTTCTGTGCTATCAGATGCACTAATCAGCATTTATTTACAGCTGCCAGAAGGATGTAGAGTGTGGCATGTGAGTACATCTGCTAGCCGTGCCTTACAGGCCAAATCCCACTAATACCTGCTTCTCCACAGCAACTCAGGCTGTCAGTGCAGCTCATTTAAACTGTCTTAATATTTAACTAAAATTGGAAAAATGCTCAACTATACTGTTAGAACATGATAATAATGTGACAAATTAATACTACCAGAACTTTTCTGACACTACACTGTAAATGTACGAGTCAACAAAATATAAGATTTACATGTGGTAGTTCGTTTAAGGGAACTATGTAGCACTTACCTTTGCTTTAACAATAAACAGTTTCTTGCTCTTCACCTCCTACACACTGCATTATTTACCTAGATCAGAAGTACCTGTAGCTTTTGAAAGCTTTCGTCCTGGCAGCAGCAGAAGGTGAGGGATTCTCTACAAGATGCATGTAGATGTTATCGAACTGGAGCCTTTATGAGAGGCATCGCCACTTTCAGGGATTTAAATAAAGCGTCTCTCCATGTCTTCATTTTTTCTTCAATCAATTGATTATCCAGTTAATCTTGGGTTGAGACAGGTGAAAAAAACAACACTTTTGTCCTGCAGTACTATCAACTGTAATGTCTTGCCCACTGGGGTAGTGAGTTGGTCACGTGAACCACATTATAAACGCGCTATGATTAATGCATGTGTATGTGGCACTTTATGTCCAGCGCTTTACTTTCTTTATTTTATAACTTTTCCAAATATCCATCTTTCCACTCGTTTCTTTAGTTTTAGACTCTCCAATCTGAATTTTGTTACCAACAGCAGTTGCACTCTTCGTCCTGCTAACAATTTTGAGACCCACTGTTGCCCACGGCAACCTTAAAACCCCCCACTCCTGCGAGATTTGCGTTGGGTGGGATCCCAGTCCCAATGCAGGGCTCTAATTTAAAGCTTCAGTTTCAGTTTGTTTCTGTTATGATTTTGTTTTTATATTATTTCATGATTAATTATATCACTGACATCATCATCATCATCATCATCGCCATCATGTCTATGTCTGCAGGGAGCAGGAGGAAGTGAAACCTCCCTCGTCCTCGTAAGTACCTCATCTCCCAGAGTGCACTCCCTTAGCCACGCCTCTTTTCCTCAATAAGCTATTTCTTGTGTCCCACGCTGCCCCTCCCACCTACTGATGTGCTTCCTGTCAGCTGACTGTGTGTATTACCTGGACAGGTGGAATCCATTCTCAGGGTTCAGTCAGTTGGTCAGTAACGTTGCCACCAACGTGTCCGAAGTTCTGCAGGTTAAAAGTCCAACAGACAACGAGCTGCAGATGTGAGTAAACCCAGAGGCTTACCTGAGCACAGGTGTTTGTGTCTCACCTGAGCCTCAGTTCAGGTAGACACCTGATGCTGTGTTTATTCATCATGTCGCAGTCTGACACTGAAGGTCCAAATCCAATCGTACATGCCTGGCTTCGCCTCTTTAATGAACCAAACAAGGACCAGCTCACTGGTCCTTTAGACTTCAGTACAAGTTTAGTATATGTCACCCTCTGACCTCTCCTCTCTCTAAAAACCTCCTCCTCACAGGAAGTTACATCAGCAGTTTGAGATGTATAAAGACCACATGAAGAAGCTGGGTGAGGAGTCTCCAGAGGCTCAGACAGCGCGGGCAGAGTCTCCAACCTGCGGGATCTGTCGCAAGACCAAGTTTGCCGATGGCTGTGGCCGAGCATGCTGCTACTGCCAGAGTCGTTTCTGCGGCCGCTGTGGGGGGCGTGTCTCCTTGAGAGCCAATAAGGTTGGTCTATGAGTGCATTTTTGCTGTGGACATTGCTGAATATCTGGGGTCATTTTCAGTTTAATTATTTTTTTCAGTGACAGTTTAACAACTCTAGATCATCTGAAATGAAACGATTAAATGTCAGACTGTTAGCTTTGATTTGATTGACACAGGCTGGATACTGTGCATAAAAGCAACAGCAATTCATAAGTGGTAAATGAAATGTTTATACAGCCATGGTCTGGATGCGTTTGGTATTGTCCCTCAGGTAGCTCTGTTTTGATACGGTAAAATGGAAATGTTACTTAAGATCAGACTCATAAGATAGACAAAGTTTCAGCACCACTGTCACTGCTTTGAGTCATCTGCCCACTTATGTATAAATCAAGATTGCTACCATCAACTATCACAACTGTGCCCTGTACTACAAAATGCCCTGTACTCACCCTAACACTGGAGATCAGGATAAGTGTTCACACGAAGCTGATTATCAACTCAGCATTTAACCTGTGCATTCACATGAAAGGGACGGTGCTGCAGCATCTGATCAATCTAAAAGGGGCATTTTGCAGGTCACGGGACTCTTCTTCCACAGAAAATGATCCCTATGAGTGCCACCTACTTTTGACCAGTTTGAGCCTGTAACTCTTTCTTTTTTAGAGGATGTGGTTGGTCATCTGAGGCCCTGTTTGTCTCCAAATGATCTTGTCCCTCGACAAATTTAAAAAAAGATTTTGCCTCGCACAGACTGTTCTTACTATTATAAACAGCCGTTTAATGTCTGGTGTAGTCCCTGCTTATTTTAAGCAGGAAGTAGTACAACCCCTTCTTAACTCATTCACTGCCATTGACGTCTATAGCCGTCAATTGCAGTGCATGAGTCAATGGGTTTAACTCATTCACTGCCAATGGCTGGCAGTGAATGAGTTAAGAAACCCGCCGTGGACCACACTGTATTGACTAACCACAGGCCTATCTCCAAGCTGACTTTACTGTCTAAAATCTTAGAGAAAATTGTACATTCCCAATTGATTGATTTAAGAAAAAATGAGAATAGTATCCTGAGTCAGCACTCTTAAAGGTTTTTAATGATATCTTCCCTACCTGTGATTCTGGTAATCATGTTGTTCTTGTCCTCCTTGACCTAACAGCTGCTTTTGACTCTGTAGACCACAACATTTTACTGTCTCGTTTACACCGTCTTGCAGGCATTCGTGGTACTACTTTGAATGGGTTTAGGTCTTATCTTTCTGATCAAACTTAGTGTTAACTCTTTAGGGTATGAGTCCTTTTCTGCGGCTCTTCAGTTTGGGGTCCCACAGGGCTCAATTCTAGAGCCTCTGCTTTTTTTTCATCATATTTACAGCCCTTGGGAACCATCCTTAAAAAGCATGGAATTTCCTTCCACTGTTATGCTGACAACTGCCAGATTTATCTGCCTCTGAAGCAGAAAGATGCCTTCTCTATTAAACCACTTCTGGCATGTCTAGAAGATATTAAAACTTGGATGTCCCTAAACCTTTAAAAATGTAATTCAAGAAAAATCAAGGAGATTGTGTTTGGTCCTTGCGGACCTAGTGATCCCTCTGCTATTGATTTGGGACCCCCGGCATTTTAAACTTGTTGTTACTAATTTGGGTTTTAAGATGGACAGTGACTTTAAATTGGACACTCAAATTAGGGCTACTGTCAAGTCCTGTTTTTATCATTTAAGGTGCTTGGCAAAGGTAAGACCTATTTTATCCAGGCCACATTTTGAAACAGTAAGCCATTCTTTTATTTCATCTCATTTGGATTACTGTAATGCACTGTATTTTGTAGTAAGTCTGTTTCTTCTCTTTTGTCTGCAGCTGGTTCAAAATGCTGCTGCACGACTTTTAACCCAGAATTCGCAAAAGAGAGCACATAACTCCCATTCTGGCTTCACTCCATTGGCTGGCTGCCTTTAATCTAATGTGCTGATTTATAATTTTAATTTAATTCTAATTAGTATTTTATATTTTTTAAGTTATTCAATGTATCGTTTCTTAGGCATGTCAAGTGTACGGCACTTTGTTTTCAGCTGGGAGTTGTCTGAAAGTGCCTTATAAATAAATTGCTTGCTTATAGAACAATAAAATGTTGTTAAATTGTTTGCTGACAACAGGAAAAACTTAGCTCTGTGAACCTGACTGGCTCTCTGGCGGCTGGTCCCTCTGACTTCTCCCCTCCTGCCGCACATGAACCAGCTGACTGACCATATGACTCATTTTCTCATTCATGAAGCCAGAGCAGACAGAAACATAAGAGCAGACATTGTAGCTATATCTTATTCAGTATTTGATGAAAATTACTTTTTTCTCCCCTCCTGTTTCTACGGGAAATATCATGTCAGCACTGATGCATCTTCATATTTCAGCTCCTCTGGATTAAATGGAAGCTCTACTCTTCATTTACCCGTTGCCACACATTGCTATGGTGAATTCTGATACCAGGATTCACCATGGCAGGAAAATCTAAGTACAGAGAAAACCTATCTGTTTTTCTCAATATGTAAGTTGTGTAAAAAGATAAACTTACAGGAAATTTAACAGAATGTATTAAACTGAAAGACTAGAAGTTCATTTTCAATAAAATCAACTCATTTATCAACATCCACTAATGACATAATTGCATCATCTCTGGAAAATATGTGAAGTTGTGCATCTTTGGTTGTTTGGAACTCAGGAGACACCACATGATCTGTAAAGCATGCCAACTATCACATCAGGAGGAAAACCAGCCAATCAGGCAACAGCAGCCTCTTACATGCGTTTATAGTAAACAAACTCGGTGTGTGTGTTTCAGGTGATGTGGGTGTGCAATGTGTGCAGGAAGCAGCAGGAGTTTCTCACTCGGTCAGGGGACTTTTCCCCTGAAATGCTATCCATCAATTACAGCTTACACAGGGCTCCCCACCCACCTACACATGGGCCACTGGGTGCCACGGGGCCCTTGAGTAATGGTGCAGCAGAATGGTGGGTATTATTCATTGTTTATATTATTTATCTTTTTTTTGTTCCTGAGGCCATTTAACTGTCAGCTGTGCCTGCATGCTTCTCATTTAAATCTAAACTTTTAATTAGTGAGATTGTTTTTAATTAGAGAGTGACCTCCATCTCTCTCACACACACACACACACACACACACACACACACACACACACACACACACATCCTGTAATCAAATTAACAGATTAATAATCTGGTACCTTGCAGAGGATTACTGCTGGTGCTAAATACAGCATGCAGGCTAACAGCAGTGATGTCATTTCCTGTATTGCTGGGATTGGAGAGGGGGAGGGCCTTCCGGTGTGATCCATGTCAGTCATAAACTTGCTGAGCGTGTCAAGGTGTTGGTCAATATGAAGCTTCAAACCTCCTAGGAGAGCTGTAAAAACGTTAATTAAATGTGTATGTGGTTGCACTCAGACTGACTGCATGTAAGTACACATCTCAGCTTCTTTATGCTCCCTGTTGATACAGACTCAAACTTTGTTGATCAGAAATCGGATTCACTTTCACCGTTAGTAGGTTTAACCAGTGCTTTGATATTTTGATGCTTGTGAACACTGCATGTTGTCTGGAGCTGCTGGAGAAAAGTTTTAATGTTTCTATGCTGCATCGATGTCTGCTGCTGGTTCTGGTTTTGGTAACAGAATTTAACTCAGACAGAGTTGAGATTTTATGGCTGTAAACATAGAACAGGAGTCAAAATGTAGTTTTCCTTAAACAATGAGTTTATTATTACAGTGAAGACCTTTTTAAAAAGTTGACAGTACAGGTGAAAAAGCCTTGAAACAGGTCGATAAAAAGGAAGTCTGAACAGGAAGAACTTCATATACTGCTACTAGTAGTAATACTATTAACAATAGACTCCTCAGTTCTTGAAGCTTTGGTTCTGTGTAGAGTGTGGGTATATATGTATCAGCTGGCTGACAATCTGCTCCTCCTCCACTCTCACTGGATCACACTCTGTGACTGACAGGAGGCAGAGCCCCTCGGGATTGTACTATAATGGCAGGAGGAGCAGGATGCCTAGCTCACCATCGGACCTTGCTGTGAACAACCGTTCTCGATCGCCACACTGCTGTCATGGTTACGGAGAGGAAGAGCTACAGGCACACAGGCAACCAATAAGAGATGGGCGAGGTCGCTGGTACTCACAGGTGAGTCTGACAGGTGAAATTCATTTATTTGCTCACATTTCTTGTAAATTATTTGATCTGATGCGGGAAGCTGTTTAATAATTTATTTTCTTTAGAAATGAAAGATGAAATGCAACAAAGAAAATGGAGTAGTTGTAGCACAGGTGGTTGACCAGGTCTGCTAGTGTAAAGGTTGAACTGCGTTCCAAATAACTTTTGGGAAAGTTGCTCTCCAGTGCATCCATCAGAGTGTGAATGTGTGTGAATATTAGATAGAAAGCACTGCATAGTATTAAAAAAGTGCTTCTATGAATGGGAGAATGAGGCATGTTGAGGCATATAGTGCTTTTCATTCTGTTTGAGGACTTTATACAACATGCCACTGACACCCATTCATTAAATTCATTCATACGATTGTCTTTGTTACATGGACTGGTTGTCATATAGCACTTTTCTGCACTCCCCGAGTACACAACGTGCTATAAAAGAACCATTCTGTTTGCCAAAAGCAATTAATTAAATGTTTTAACTATTTTTCACTAGTTTAATAGTTTTTTCTTAATGATTTAATTAATTTCATTTATTGATGGTTAAGTCGTGCTATGAATGACAGTTGAGCTGTGATAAACATAGCAGGCTTCAGGGCTTACCAAACTGATGATGATGATGATAATGTTCACCTTTCTCACCTCCTGGCTCAGGATCACCCTCTAGACCAACGTCAGGATGAGCTTGAGCTGCGGCGACAACAGGAAGTGGAGTTTCAGGCACGGTACCGTAGTGACCCAAACCTTGCCCGATACCCAGTGAAGACACAACCAAGTGAAGAAACCATGAGGATGTTAGCTCAGGTAGGCAGGGTCCGCCACCAGCGCCGCCACAGTGATGTTTCCCTGGCAACCCCAGAGCCTGACCACCTGACCATGAGGCATTCAGGTAAGGGCATGTCCGCCCATCTACTCACATCTTATTTTGTCTCTGTCAGTGCGCCCCAGGGCAGCTGTGGCTACAATGTAGCTTGCTATCACCAGTGTGTGAATGTGTGTGTGAATGGGTGAATGACTGAATGTAGTGTAAAGCGCTTTGGGGTCCTTAGGGACTAAGTAAAGCGCTATACAAATGCAGGCCATTTACCATTTATTAGCAGGCTGTGATCGGTTTTACTCGTTTCATTCTCAGCTCTTCGTCAGAATCTGCCTCTGGGATTGGTCAAATCTGGAGGTCAGAGGTCATACTCTGTGGACCGTGCAACCACTCACATAAGCCCAACATATTCCCGTCACAGCCCATTATCCCAACAACTACTGGACCCAAGCTCAACCCTGAAGAGGAAGCCAGCCACTGAGAATGTAGCACAGAGGAGTCGGCATGTAGGGAAGATGCACGTGATTGGCAGCTTTAGCAGCTCAGAGGAGGATCTTGTTACCACACCTGAGTACACTAGCGCTGACGAGCCTGACAGTAAGTGGCTACATGCTAACAGCCAGTCAATCATTTTTCTTACATGTGTGCACATTGCTTGAGAGTTGTTTGTCGCGCTGGATATGATACAGCCACTGGTCACGAGAGAGAAAAGTGTATTCTCTGACCCGTGATCAAGTGGTTATTTTTTTTATTCAAAATATTTTTATTGAGTATTTGTGGATATAGTTTACAAAGAAAAAAAGAAGACGGAAAACACAAGCTGTTTACAATGAATACTAAACAGAACTTCTCATGTTGGAACATTGTTTTCCTCTCAACGTGAAAAAAGAAAAAAAAACTAAAAGAGGGAAAAAACCACACAGAAGTTAGCTATACCATCACTACAGCTACATTACAGCTTTGCCTGATAGTTGCAAATTAAGGAGCTTGTCCAGTAAATTAGCAGCTGGAGCTTCTGGAAAATTGGAGAGGTGGGATTGCAAAAAATTTCTGAGTTGTAAGTATCTAAAAAAGTGAGTTTTGGGAGGACTGTATTTTCCTGCCAGCTGATCAAATTATGCTAGTTTATTATATATAAAGAGATCTTTAAAGAAAATAATACCTGCTCTAAACCAGACCTGGAACAAGTTGTCCAAAGTTGGGGGGAGGAATAGGTGGTTTGAAAGGATGGGGCTTTGAAGTGAAAAATTATTAAGATTGAAATGTCTCCTTAACTGTGCCCACACCCTGAGGGAGTGCCGAATTATCGGATTAGATGTAAAGTTGTCAATGGATAAAGGAAGAGAAGAACCCAGAAAGGAGGCAAGAGAAATACCCTGAGTTGAGTCTAATTCCATTGCCAGCCAGCTGGTGGGGCCCACCCCCTCCCCAGACTGTAACCAGTAGGTCAGGGACCGAATATTGGCAGCCCAATAGTAAAAGCGGAAGTTGGGGAGTGCCAGACCCCCTTCAATCTTAGGTTTCTGTAAATGCATCTTAGCTACTCGAGATCGTTTACCCTTCCAAATATAAGAAGAGATTATAGAATCTAGAGTTATAAAGAAAGACTTGGGGATGAAGACTGGTAAAGATAAGTATGAGAATTTAGGAAGGATATTAATTTTAATTGAATTAATTCATCCGACCAGAGTTGTGTTCAGGGGTGACCACTGTTGAAGGCTTTGTTTGACATTCTTCAATAGTGTAAAAAAGTTGGCTTTAAGAAGTTGTTTATACTTTCTTGTAATTGTAATACCCAGGTAGGTGAACTGCTCTTTGATGGGGAAACCCGACAAACCTATTGGAAACGCTTCTTCATTTAGTAGACAAAGTTTGCTCTTGGACAGATTTAATTTATAACCAGAGACTTGACTGAAACACGTGAGTAGTGACAATATAGACGGTAGGGAAGTATTTGGATTTGAAATAAAAAGCAATAAATCGTCAGCATAGAGAGAGACTTTGTGTTCAGTTTGACCTCTTTGTATACTCTGGACAAGTTTACTGCTTCGAAAAAACATTGCTAAGGGTTCAATAGCTAGATCAAATAACAACTGGCTAAGGGGGCAACCCTGACGTGTGCCTCGTTTAAGTTAGAATGGTTTTTATTTCTGGCTATTAGTGCAAACAGACGCAACAGGGGACAAGTATAGGTACTTGATCCATGAGATGAAGTTGGGACCGAACCCAAATCTTTCCAGCACAGCAAATAGATAGTTCCATTCTACACGGTCAAATGCTTTTTCCGCATCAAGGGAAAGAACACATTCTGGAGTGTCCTTGGACGGCGTGTGCAGGCTATTAAGAAGGCGTCGGATGTTGAAAAAGGGGTGGCGCCCTTTAACAAAGCCAGACTGATCTTCAGATATGACTGCTGGCAGGACCCTTTCCAACCTGTGGGCCAGCGCTTTAGCTAGGATCTTAAAGTCCACATCAAAAGCGAAATTGGCCTGTATGACGCACAGTTTGCCCTGTGTGAATGCTTCAGATAGAACCGAGTGGAGTAGAGGTACGAGCTGTGGGGCAAATGATTTGAAAAATTCTACCAAAAAGCCGTCTGGGCCAGGGGACTTCCCTGACTGTAGAGAGAAAATTGCAGTGCTAATCTCTTCTTTGGAAAATGGCGCATCCAAGATCTCTCTGTGGGTGTCTGCCAGCTCAGGAAAGTCCAAGCTTTTAAGAAAATTTGTGATTAGTGAGTGGTTCATATAATATTCCCTGAATGCGTCATTGATTTTGGCATGATCAGTAACGAGCACGTCATCTGAGTTAATGGCAGTTATACACTGACGTGGCTTTACACCCCTTATTTGGTCAGCTAGGAGTTTGCCTGATTTCTCTCCATGCACAAAAAAATGTACTCCTACTCTTTAATAGTTGCCTCTCCACAGCATGAGTTGATAGAAGTTCAAATTTGGTTTGGAGTTCAGTACGTTTCTTGAAGATCTCAGAGTCCTTATTGTGTGCATAGTGATGGACTAAGTCTTTTGTTTTATCGGCTAATTCTTGCCCTTCTTTTAAGTTTACCCTCTTCATATTAGCTGTGTATGAAATAATCTGTCCTCGGAGATAGGCCTTCATTGAATCCCAAACTAAAAGGCTAGAAATATTTGGGGAAAGGTGTGATGGATGTTAGAGAAAAAAGAATACTCCCTGTCAGTTGGATGCAGATGTCACCAGATATCCCTAATCCCAAGTAGAAAGAAAGGAATGAATGTGTGAAGACACTTTTTATCCATAATAGCAAATGAACTGTACAACAGAAAATACAAATGCTATTTATGGTCTCCTCACAACACTGATAAGAAAAATAAACTGGGCCAATATGGCATGTCTGTTAATACAGAGATACACATGTTAATATGATCTCTGGTCTCCCACTCAGAGACAAAGGTCTCAGAGTGTCCAGCATTCAGACGGCTACCTGAGGACACTCATGTGAGAGAAAATCTGCTCACACAGACATGTAGAGCAAAATACTGTCAATAAGGCCTCTGCAATGTTCAAGATAGTTAAACTTGTCAGGTAGTGATGTCCAGCAGGTGAAAATGCAGCTCCATGAACACACAGCTATGGATTCCAGCTGTTTGTTGCATTAACTGGCATTAACTGAGCCAGTTAATGCGAGAAAAATCTAGCTGCTCATTATAGATTTCTGGTTTGTTCAGAAAATAAAACATTGGTCATAAACCATTCATAAACCTGAAAGTCCCAAAAATGCATTGTCTCGAGTCTACGGATGTATCCGTGTATCTCTGTGGTTCTGTTGCTGTGCTGAGCGGAAAGCTCCTGAAGCTTTTGAAGTCTTGGAATGTGGAAAGCTAACAACGTCCCTCTCACCAGTAGGCGAAGTTATTTTTAGCCAATTACAAGTTGAATCTGGTAGTTTGGGTTGTTAGCTAAGATACCGTCATTAAGAAGAGACACAACTAATGTGTCTATGCGAGCTGATTTGTGATGTGCACCGCTGGCGCAGCCATTTATTTTTTTGATGCACCTTCTCAGATTAATTCACTGCGTGTCGTGCACAGGGCTGGACTGGGACAAAAAAAAAACAGCCCGGGCATTTTGACTAAAGACCGGCCCACCACGTATTAAAGCCATAAAGCCTTTGAATGAAAACAAACGCTGTTGTGACAGTGATGTACAGTCTTGTTGGTATATGTATGATTTCTATACATTTTACGTCAGATAAAAACTTTGGTTGTAAGATTCAGATAATTATTTAATAACAGCCAGACATTTTAAATGAGAATAAGAAAGTATTTCTTTGTGCCCCCCTCTCCCTGTTAATGCCCTACCTGGCCCCCCTGGCAAAACTTTGCTAGATCCACCCCTGCACAGTTACCAGCTGTCAGCTACCTAAAAAAGGATCCTGGTGTTATTTGTCTCTCAGAAACAGTTCATAACTTCCCTTCAACCCACTCATGTCACCTAAAAGGTAAACCTGTTTCTCCATCACTGTTCAGCTCTGATGATTCAGTAAGGACATCTCCTGGTTTCATCCTCATGTTTCCCTCTCACCAGATATACAAACCGATATCATGACCAGCAGGTTTTACAGCTGTGGCTCCAGCAAACCTCAGCTGATAGTAGAAATTAATATTAAATAAATTCTAACAACAGCTGATCAAGCTTAAACGTGCTGCTGTTGTTTAGCGCGACATCTGCTGGTTTCCGCTTTCTGGCATAAAGTGGGCGATAAACAAACAAGAGAGAAAAGCCGATCAGCTGATCATTGATCAGTTTCATGATTAAAGTAGCAACAGGAGAGGGAGGGGGAGAGAATGAGAGAAGAAGAGGCAGCTGTGCAGCGTAAAGACAGAATAACTCCACCTTTGTGTCTTTTTCCATCCTAGACAAACTGCGTCCCTTCTCAGCTCAACACGAAACACGTAATAATTTCTCTGAATGCGGGACGATTCCGTCTTTTTACGGGACGGTTGGCAACTCTACTAACTAATCTTATGAATAAAATAAAGTTCACTATCAGTAACATCATAGCACCAACCCAGCTGTATAGAAACTCCGTCATGCTAGCTAGTTATTGTAACTGACTGTAAAAAGTCAGCACAACGAAAATAAACTCCACCTAAACTTAGTTTATATCTGACCCAGATAGACTGCAGGTCATAACTTCTTACCTGAAGTTCAGTTCACCTGACACTCGGACCGGCGGCCGCCTCGGGTCTCTGCTCCTCCTGCCTCCCCTTCCCTCATCCACCTGCTGGCCTCCACCACTTGTTAATTTTACTGAATCTGTGGAAGCTCCACCATAGCCACCACCAAACAACTGAGTTATTTTTACACACCGGCCAGCATCTGTCCAATCCACCACCTTTCATTGTTTATACCGTTACAAAAAAAAATCATTGGCCCATTGAGCAAATGCCCGGTATGCCCGATGGCCAGTCCAGCTATGGTTGTGCCATCAGTTAACCCTTCGGAATAACAATGATATAATTTCTGTACCTTTGAAGGGTTCTCTGTGATTTGGTCATTATATTATTATATTGGTTAAATTGTACTTTTTAGGGTCTGTCATGTGTTCTGGCTCTAAAGAGGTCCAGAAGGGGTTGCTCTCTGTTATTAAAGCTCCTGTGACTCTGACCTGTGCTGTAGTGAAAAGTGATGGCCCCTCTCAGGAAATCAGACATCATGCTGACGAGTTAATCTGTTGCATTTATGTTACTGGGCCACAAATCACCTGGTCAGAGATCATGAGCTCTGATTTGCTCATATGCCTTTTGGCTCCTCCCCTTAAATCTTGAAGAGACTAAGTAGCACAGAATCTCTGCTACCGTCACTCTGAGAACACCTAGACCAAAACAAAAACCAGCACATTCGCCACCAAAATTGATGGTTCCATTCCTGGAGAACTCTGAAAGATCCTGGAGACATCGTTTGACAATCTGATCCAGATTAGAGCGCATGAGACTGCCGCTCTAGTGCTGTCGGACCTCCAAATCACCATCTTTGCTCTACTTCAATAGGATTAAAAGAGGAGAGTCTGGATTATCAAGAGTCACTGCAGAGATGTAAGAATAGAAGCTCAGACTGCAGGAGAGAACGCCACGCTAGACTAACCTGCTCGTGTGTGACCACACAATACAGTGGGGTCCTTAACCAGCAGACTGTTTATGCTGCTGAGCTAGACTTCTGGTGATTACCTGCAAAATTTCTGGATTTTTGGGCATCTGTTTCAGCAACTCTAATCAGGTGGAAAGGTGGGGGAAAGGGGGCGGGGTTAATGTAGCAGTAGTCCCCCAAAGTTGATCCCCTCTATCAACTTCGGGTCTTCTCCAAACTAACTGTAAGTACTGAAGGCACAAACATGCACTTGACAATTGGACTCCAATAATCTCATTACTGACAGGAATGAACTGCTCTGCAACCTGCAGGCAGTGCTCGGGACAAACAGCACACAGAAACCCAGTGAGGAGGAGGAGAGGCTGCTACATGGATTACAGGTTCTTTCTCATCTTCCTCTTGCTCACCTGAAGCCTCCTCCTTGTCCTTCATGGCGTGCAGGCGGACCTGTGAGTGAAGCATTTGAAAGCTATGTAACTTGGAGAACTATGATTACAAGTACACACATCAACATGTTTTGACATTTTGTTGGAGATAAATATGACGTTTCAGTGATCTGGTGTTACTGTTCTGATTTGGCTGTTCTGATTAGTTTTGTCAAGTATCTTCAGGCATTCAGACTATAGCATGTTTGTCCACATATGCAGCACAGCTTCACATGAAGACCAGGAGGAACATTCAGAGAGCAAATGTGAAGATGATGCAGCTGCATTTCACTGCTGAAGATTGAAATAAAAGCAGAAGGAGCCTCATACAGCACAAAGGAGGAAATCCATTCTGTGCTCAGGTCCATGGGTTCATTTTGCAAAGGATTCTTTTCAAAACAATGCTGGTGATGTTTGAAACTAAATTAATTTTTTATCTATCCATTGTTGAATTTGTTCAGGTTTATTAACCAGTCATTTTTAGTGCCTCTGTTTTAACGACTAATGAAGAGTCCGTGCATCCATAATTCACAAGAATCGATTGTGCTCCTAGAGGATTGTTCAGATTTTAGTGAAACTTCTTATGGTCACATAATGGCCAATGGCCATAATGACTCAAGGTCATGTTTTTCTTTTCACAGACAAAATCTGTGAACTGTGATGGATGGTGAACCAGGTGAGCTGCTACATGATTGACATCCTGGTTTGCTTAAAACCAGCTCTGCTTAATGTGAAGAGTTGCTGCTTTAACAGTTTAAATCAAATTTTGATTATTTTGAGGGATGGGCTGTTTACAGCCGCATCATTTTGTTCTGCTCATCCAGAACCGAGAATTGACGTGTAAGTTGATGATCCATAATTGGTGCCAAAAACCTCAGCTTGTTGAGCAGCTGATTGATAACATTTTTCAGCAATTTTCATGTTGGTGTTAATGTACATAGAGGATGTCTGTGTAGGTTACATGCAGGTCATGAGGAGTCTAAGGAGCTTGGAAAAAACCTCAACTGGACCTAAAGTTCTTTGAAGACGTTTCATTTGAGAGGCTTCTTCATTTCTAAAACCAAACGGTGGAGAGTCCAAGGTGATGTTGGGCAACTGGTAAAATTTATCGACCATCAATGATAGGCTGAGCCTTTCGCTAATCGTTTATACAAGAGCGATTTATTTATTTATTTGCCCAAGAGTAACTTTGCTAATAATATTGGTTAAAGTTAAGAGAAGCAGTCAAGGGAAAAAATAATAGAACTGTTTTAACGGCACCGTCTTCCAGCTACGAGCAAATGCACCCTCCTCAGAGTGTGCCCAAATGCTGCAATTCATTTACTCAAACTCATAACAGAAAGAAAGAAAGGCAGTAGCCTATGTTCAGAAAAAAAACAAACATTTTATTTAATTAAAATCCCCACAATGGTTGGAAGGAAAACAAAGAGAAACTGGCTTTGTTTTGCCACTATAACTTTGTTTACACATTCCAGTGTTTATCTGTTGTACACGCTCGACCAAACAACAAACACAAAATTAAACAAAAAGTATGTTAAAAATCAAAATGTCTCTTCCAGCAAACATAGCTTTAAGTCTTTTGTTAGATTTGGCGCATCTCAAATGAATAGATAAATGAATAGTCCAAAAAGTAGAAAAGAAAGGTAAGGAAGGTAAAATATTCCCTCTAAACAAAATGTATAAATTCTAAATGTATAAATCACTCTATGCATGAATATATTGCTCTCCCCATCAAAAAGTCTGCCCCTGCGCAAATATACCATCTATCGTCGGTTATTGGTCTTAAACCCTAGAGCGGGGTTGTCCCTTAGAAGGGTCGTTAATGAGGCATTTACCATGTGCCTCATCACATGAGACAAGGTGTAAAGAAAGACGTGGCTCATTATGACTGGGAAGGATCTCAGAATGCATTGTAGATAGCAGACGGTGTAATAAGCCATCCTCTCTGTTCAAAGATGGTCATTCACAGTGAACATAGATGGCCTCTTATACTCCTTTCAAATATCTGTCTTCTCACTCAAAAATGTGATCGTTGGCACCTCAAAAGATTGACCCCCACAAAAGTTCTTCCTGTGTAGATTTTGCAGGTTCACATTGTGCATTTGCGGCTTCTTTCTGGATACTCCCACTTCCTCCTACAAGCCAAAGACATGTGTGTATGTGTTTTAAAAACACCTTTAACCTCTTCTGGTTGCTAGGAGACATGGACAGTAGTCAGTGGTGGGATCATGGTTCCTGGCATGGCGAGCCTGCTCCCATGTCTATGGTGAGTTGACGCCCTGCCTTGTCAGTAATCCATCAAACAAATCCTGTTCTGAATGCGGAACTGTTGTTGGTTGCTGTTATTTTCTAGTAACCATGTGTTTCCCATTGTGAATCATCAGCAGCCAGTCACATGGCAACCCTCCAAGGATGGAGAGCGTCTGATTGGTCGAATTCTACTGAACAAGAGGATGAAGGACGGAATTGTTCCTGCAGATACAGGAGCACTGCTGGGACTCAAGGTGGCCTTCTTCTGCTTTGTTCTACTGCCTTTTCTTTTTACCATTTCTTTCACTATTCTTCTCTTCATTCTCCTCTTTTGATAATACAGTTTGGTGCTGTGTGTTTGCAGGTTGTCGGTGGAAAGATGACAGAGTCTGGTCGTCTCTGTGCTTTCATCACTAAGGTGAAGAAAGGTAGTCTGGCTGACACTGTGGGTCACCTGAGACCAGGTAAACACACTGATTTTTCTGATAGGTCTTAGTTACTTTGTTCACTGAGTTAGAGGTTGCTAAAACTGAATTAGATGGACTCTACAATGTTATCTTTTCTTCTTTAGGAGATCAGGTTCTGGAGTGGAACGGTCGGGTTCTTCAAGGAGCCACATTTAACGAGGTCTACAACATCATCCTGGACTCCAAACAAGAACCACAGGTGGAGCTGGTGGTGTGTCGACCAATAGGGTGGGTCTCTGATCAAGCTGAGAGGGAGAAAATATTTCTGAGGTTGTTCTCTTCTCTTAGGACATCATAGTAACAGATTGTTGCTGATTCTATGTTCTTCAGAGATGTTTCCAGATCAGTAGAGAGTGCCCATGTCCAGCTGAACTCCAGTGAGTCTATAAAAAAACAAAAACTACATCTGTCCTGTTCATTAAGAACTTCCATAGATCTGATAGTGGACAAAGTTCCTGCTGACTCAGAATTGGTCTATTTAATGTTCAGGTTCCAGTTCCTTTGACTCTCAGAAAGTTGGCCCATCCATCTCTGTCACATCTCCAATGAGCCCCAGTGTTCTGTCTGGACAGGTCTCGGTAAGTTTACCCAGCATGCACTGCATCGTAACACAGCCACTCAGCAGTCAGTTAATAGCATTTCCATGGTGATGTGTGTTTTCAGACTGTGGACAGGCAACCTCTGGTTCCCCGGATTCAGGTAAAAGTTGAAAAGGACGGCGTGTGCATGTTCATCTTTATTTACTCTGTAGTGTAGTCTTTTAGGCTGTAGATAAATGTATCACAGAAGAAGCAGAACAAAGTACTCCAAGTTTCTGGTTTTATTGGTTCTGAGGGTATCCATTGTTGTTCTAAATGATTCAGCTTATGTGGCTAGAGACACAAGACAGTTCTAAAATGTGCCTTGTAGTTAAAGTACTTTGAGCGGTCGGTAAGAGTAAAAAAGTGTAGTATAAATATGAGAACTTTACAGTATAGTTCTGTTAGCACTGTTCTTGTCTGTAGGGTCCTTTGCTCTTCCAAAGAATTTTGCCTCCTTTAGCTGTGTTCCATAACTATTTTTCAATATCTATTCATGCTAAGGCTCCCCTGCAGTTTTGTGATTCTGTTTTGTACCTCTACTTTTTGCTTTGTAAAAACTCTCTAAGGTTCCTTCCAGGGGTCCTGACTCTGTTGCTGTTCCTTGGGGTTCCATTACAGTTATGGGTTGATACAATTTTCTTCATGTCCCCTTTTGGTTATCATCTTACTGGGTTTTCTGGGTTTTCTGTAGCAATCACCTGGTGTTTCACTGGGCTCAGCTGGTAATTGGTTATATTGTCTGTTTGAATTTGTAGGCGCTTTTGTTCTGCTCTGCTAACAAAACTTTTCTGCAGGGTATCTCCTGCTGATGACTGGAGCTTCTTTTCTTTGGTCCTTTTTTGTTGTTCTCCAGGCTTCTTCTGTATTACTATGGTGTCCTAATGATGATGTTGTGGGTATTCTACAGGTGAAGCTATGGTATGATAAAGTCGGCCACCAACTGATTGTCACCATTCTTGGAGCCAAAGAACTTCCTGCTCGGGATGACGGCCGACCCCGGAACCCATACGTCAAGATCTATTTCATGCCAGATAGAAGGTGAAAAAGCAATCAAAGACCAGTATTTTATGGCTCAGAGGTTCCTTGAAAAGTAAAACTGTAGAACTTCTGATATCCTTTAAAACCAGTAGTGGACTATTCTCTGTGATTGGCTGTTAGTTGTACCTTCCTCCTTTAACAGTGATAAGAGTAAGCGGAGGACAAAGACAGTGAAGAAGTCATTGGAACCTCGGTGGAACCAAACCTTCATGTACTCTCCGGTCCATCGACGTGAGTTCAGAGAGCGAATGCTTGAGCTGACAGTCTGGGACCAGGCTCGAGTCCGAGAGGAGGAGAGCCAGTTCTTGGGAGAGGTGAGAATCCATGAACAATACAGAACAATGGAGAGGATATGGGGAAAACTCATTAAACTAAGAACCTTTAACAGTTCAGTTCTGACCTACTCTGCCTTGCCTTGACATCACATCCATCACCTGTTCAGTAGGGATGGGTATCGTTTAGGTTTTATCCGATACCGGTGCCAAACCGGTACTTTTGAAATGGTGCCGGTGCTTAAACGGTACTCGAACCGGTGCTTAAAGAATGGAGAACACACACTTTGTCCAAAAACCTCTCATGTTTAGCTGTTTTTAAGTAAAAAGATAACAATGTTAGCCTTTTCTGCAGCTATAAGGTTCAAGGTTTAAGGTTCTTTATTTGTCACATGCATAGTTATACAAGTATAACACACAGTGAAATGTAACCTGACACGCTGCTCGACATGTGCAAAAATGGGGGGGGTAGAGGAAGAACATATATATATATATATATATATATAGTGTGTATATATATGGTGAATGTGCAGTAGTAGCAGCAAGCAGGTGAATTCTGTACATTAATATGAATA